TGCTGAACTACTTTATATATGCGCCAAGAATTGAATGCGTTGGCTTCATTAGCGCAACCAAACCAATAGAGTTGGGCTTTCAATTCTTAGCATAGTACCTGCTGTTCCGGACGTTGAACTTTGGAAGCTACTTTCCTTGGCAGTCTCCAACGATGGCAGCAGGACAGATTTATTATTATTTTTTTTTAAATATTTCCGGCCGACGCGAATTTATTTTTATTTTCAATTTGAAACCACTCGCGAGACACAGCCTTGCAGTTAAACCACTTGATTTTATCTTCTACACACAATTGTCTTTTAAAAGTGCCCACCCGGGGGCGCCGGCTGCTAAGCGTTTTAGTGCGTATCGCTTTGATGTAATTCGACAACTGAAGATATATAGAGTTTTGCTAAGGCGGCGAAGCGAGGGGAATTCGCTTCAAAGCGAGTGATAAAGCTTTATTGCGCTCTCGCTCTGCCCTAAACCTAACTTTCACTAGACTTCATGTTTCTCAAATTCATTTTTAAAATTAATGCGCGGATCTGTGCCAACAAATAGAAAAGACCCGATCTATAAGATAGACGATTATTCTAAGGAAATAAAATTTAGATAAGAAATAGCATATAAAAGAGCTAGACATACGTTACAAAAAGCTAAGGCTTATGGAAAACTCAACTATGATAAGAAGACTTCAGATTTTGACTTAAAAATCGGAGATAAAGCATTGCTAAGAAATGTAACAGGTGATAAGTTAGATCCAGTATATTTAGGACCATATACAGTAGAAACAATAGAAGTTAATGATAATATTTTAATTAAAGATAGCAAACAGAAAGTACACAAGGATAGGTTAAAAAAGTATAATAACTGAAAATAGTAATGAAAATTGTACGATCACCCAATAAACAAAATTTATTAAATAACAACAAGAAATATCATATAAAAGAGCTAGACATACGTTACAAAAAGCTAAGGCTTATGGAAAACTCAACTATGATAAGAACACTTCAGATTTCGACTTAAAAATCGGAGATAAAGCATTGCTAAGAAATGTAACAGGTGATAAGTTAGATCCAGTATATTTAGGACCATATACAGTAGAAACAATAGAAGTTAATGATAATATTTTAATTAAAGATAGCAAACAGAAATTACACTTATATATATGTATATAACTAATATATATATATAAGAAAATACAAAAAAAATAATAAAGAAAAAAAAATTGTATATACACTACATTAGAAACACAAAAAAAAATATAATAACATTAATAATATATACAAACAATGTATACTTTCAAATAACTTCACTCTTTAAAAAATTACAATAAATTAAAATAACTACATTATATTACGTTATTCCTCTAAAAGGGGAGGTGTAGTGTGTATATGCCTTGAAAGAACACACAGTATTCAAATATAAAATGCGGCACTTTGTTGCATATAATAACAATTATACATTAAACAAGCCCAAAGCCACTTTATGTATTGCCTCTGGCTCATATTAGCAGCGCGGTTCACCAGCCTCTATAGCTGACCGTTTAAGTTTACGCTGCATATCCCACGCTCCGTCTGAGCGCATTTCATGAGCAACATATATGTATATGCTCACTAACAAAGGCATATGCAAGCTACACACTCTCCTGTGTGCTACACAAGCCTGCACTGACGTGCTTGTATTGTTTAATAACACCAATTATTAAAAGGAAATATAAGTGAAACATTTTAAATTACAGAACACTTAACTAATAATTTTTGTTCACAGTAGTTTGCTGGGGTTTTCTATTTTGCGTTAGACATTTATTTGGTGTCAAATTTTGATTTTATTTCTTTGATATGTGTGACAATTTCATGCCACTCCATTTATGTTATTATTTTATTTTGACAATATCATTTCTTTCATGGCTCCAATGTATATATTTGTTTTTTTTTTAAATATTTTTAAGAATTTTTATTTATTGTGTCTTTAATTTTTATTTGAATTTGTTTTTTAAATATTAAGATTGTTTGGTTTATTAATGTATCTTCCTTTAATAATTTTATTGTGTTTTACATATATAGTGAGGAAAAATTGAGCAACGCTTGTAATTGTTAATATTAAAAGTAAAATCCATAGAGCTTGAATGTCCTCTGTGTGATTAACCAACCCATTTTGAAATTTATATTATGCTCTTTTGACTAATTACAAATATATATTCTCTTTAATTGTGATTTGCATTAATTTTCTTGAAACAATTTCTATTTTAGGAGTACATTTTCCTACGCACGTTTTTGTATAGCTTTACGGGCTACGCTTTTAATCGGGCAGAAAGGGTTCCACTCAATTTTACAATTCTTATTACAATTTTAACCATAATTATTAATATATATATTTATATAAAAATTTGTTGTACGCTCTATGTAGCGCTGTCGGTCCCGCACTCTTTGTAGTGCTGTCGGCTCCTTGTCATTGGTTAACTCGTTTCACTCGGTTCACAGGTTGGTTTTGGCTAGCTTAACTGGCTAGCGGGGCCGTTACTGGCAATTCTATTTATAATGTGCTGTAATAATAAAAAATAGTATTGTAAGTGTTCCACTTATAAATGTTTCAAACTGATAGATAAAAGCACGTCAGTTGCATTGTTCATCAGAATGAATATACAATATATTGTACTTAGCCTATTGATACATGTGTATACTTAAGCTGTTATCGGTTAACAGCTACAAAGGTAGAGAGAGAGAGTGCGGGTGTACTTATACATAAGAACGCTCAAGCTCAGAGAGAGAGAGAGAGAGGCGGGTGTACTTATACATAAGAACGCTCAAGCTCAGAGAGAGAGAGAGAGCGGGTGTACTTATACATAAGAACGCTCACTCTCTGAGCGGCTACAGGGCAAGTTCAGCGGTTATGGCCTGCGCAATTGGCATCATGTTACTTATTTGCGCAGCACTGTATGTATGTATGTGCATGTTTATGTGCAAACAAATATACGATCATATTCATGCTATGCGCTTGACTGTATATATTTATATTTGTTTAGACTTGCAACAAAGTGTTATAAGTTATGTATTTATGTATTTTTTTATGTACTTATGTATTTTTGTATATATTATGTATATGTATTATGTGTATGAATCCACTACAGTAGAACTTTGAAAATCAATTTTATTCAAACTGAACAAAACTTAAAACGTCGCCCGATATATGTTTGAATCGCATGTCTACCTAGGAAGCTTGGATTCTGCAAAGAGCGTGAAACATGTCTTAATTGATTTAGTTTTTCATATAGATCCTTGGATACGAATTTGAGAGCGTACCGTCACCCACAAAATCTTTGACCCCATTGCCATCAAGGAGCAATGCATTTTTCGAAAAGTGTTGTGTGATGGCTACTTGGATCAGCCACCCCACTGTCCTGAACCACGGCAAGGCGCCGGTCAGTTTAAAGTTTAAGCGAGCTAAAGTCACGGCATGAAGCCGTTAGCCGTTTAGTTTTATTAGATTGTTAGTTTATTAGCATTATAAGTATTAGAAGGAAGTAATGCAAGGTTATAGTTTTATTGTTTTGTAAGTACATAAGCATTGTATTAGTAATAAGAGTAGTTAAGGCAAGGTGCCGAAGTATTGAAGTTAGTTAAGGGCAAAGAGCCCAATGTGAATTAAGTTTGAATTCAACCGCCGGCCGAGGCAAGCGCACGGCTCGTCTGCGAGCGTTCTGGCACTTTTTGAGCGATTATCAGAGAGTAAGCGGAGTGTGCAGCGGAGTGTGAAGCGGAGCGCACTTCCTCCCCTCTCTAAACCCACCATCCTAGCAAATTAACAAATGTGAGAATGAGATTTGTAGGTCCTTTACAAGTTGCGCCCTAGCAGGGACAAAGAGTCGTTTAAGGGCGTGACATGTTTACGGATTAAAGCCCCGCAAGTATGCCCAAAAGTCTCGAAAAAAAGAGATGCAATAAGTAACCCAGGGTATTTTTAGTCGGGCATACCCAAGAGTGTATGTATCCTAACAGGAAAGATGGAGAAGATAATATATCATATATGGGCAAAATATAAATCCAGGGTAATAGGTAGTCGGTCATAGCCTAGCTATTGCATTTCATACCCTGTGTTAGACGACGTTGGCGTCAAAGGTCCGTTAAGGCATCGGAGCAGCGGCTGTACAGTGGGACGAACTCAGCCCACCCGCGGTGAAAAACTGAATTCGTCAGTACAGTCGGCGAAAGCAATGAAAACGGGTGTGTTAAATAAATAAATAAAACGGAGTGAAAATGATTAAAATAAAATAAATAAATAAATCAACGGAACCACTGGAGCAGAAAAGGCGAGAGTAGGCGACGCTGGCTACAGAGAGGGGCAGAAGCAAGTAAGAAAAACTTAAAATGGATGCAGGTGAGTGCCAAAATCCGGGGGTAGGCGTGCGCTGGATCCACCAACGGCGCAAGGAAGAGCTGGCAGCGATCGCCCATGAGTTCGGGCTGGAAAAGAAAAGGCGCGTGGAGGAGTTGCGTAAGCGGCTATCCACTTAACAACAGAAACAACGACGCAGAGATAGGGCGAACCCCTTATGAAACAAGTAGTGCTCCTTATACTGCCAGGCCATACCCTCAGCCGGAGGTTAGGCTACTTGCAAACATTCCGGAACACGTTCGGAAGTCGGGTATGAGGAGCTAGAGGAGCGGGTCACCACATATGTCATTCCCCTCGATCACATGTCTCGGGCATTGAGTGAGCTATTCTGCGACAGGGCCGCTCGTTGCTTTTGAGTAGTTTGCTGAGGGACGACAAGATTTCTCTACCTTGTCTCAGCTGACGCAGAGTTCGAGACGTCAGTGAGTCAAGTGGCCATGAGTACGAGTAGCTCCCACGGGGTGACACCTCAACCCATTGCGGTCTATTCCCAGCGGGGCCGGAGCGACCGCTGTGGATAGAAGAGTCCACGCCCCGCCAGCAGTGGCCCCTGCGGAGATTGCCCATTAGATGATGAGCCAACAGGCAGCAGCCGACCTGTTGCCTGGAGTTGCGGTAGTGTCTCGGGATGTCTTCATGGTACAGACGCCTGAAGTTCAAGAGCGAACAAGCCGGCTGGTCGCATGCTGATGAGACAGGTAGCAGAGCCGATGGCAGTACTCTGCGTGGGTTTCGTCGGGCCCTTCCACGGTCGAGACATGGCAATACGATTTTACTGGTGTACCATGATGGCTACTCGATGTTCGTGGAACTGGTCCCACTTAGGAGAGCTACGGCGGCGCACTTGCAGACGGCGTTTCGAGAGAGGATTTTGAGTTGGTTCTGGGTGCCCAAGAAGTTCGTGTGCGACAACGGGGTACAGTTTACGAGCCGAAGCTTCAAGTATTTTCTGGAATCCCTGGGTGTAGAGGTCCAGTTTACCGTCCCGTACTGTCCGCAAGAGAATATCAATAAGATGACCACTAGGACCGTTAGGACCATGTTCATCGAAGGCCATCAGAGTTCGTGGGACGAGCTCTTGTCGGAGATATCGCTAGCAGTCAACACAAGTGTGGCGGACTTGACAGGATTCAGTCCCGCTTTTCTGATGCAGGGCTGGGAGCCATGGTTGCCTGTCGCTCTGTACGATCAGGTGACTCCGGGGTCCGCAACTAGTGCGTTCGACCCTAGGACGAACGCGGATAGGTTGAGGGAAATCTTTTATATCGCCCACAGCAATATCCAGCGTGCATCAAAGGACCAGGGCAGACAGTACAACCTGCGGAGACAAGAGTGGCGGCCTTCATTAGACTCGATGGTCCTGTTACGGCAGAACCAACTGTCCAACGACGCTGAGGGCTTCGCTGCGATATCGGCACCCAAGTTCGTTGGCCCCTATAGGGTTACCAGGTTCGTGTCGCCTAACATTGTGCGCCTAGTGAGGCCAAACGAACAGAAGAAGAGGGTGGCCAATATCTCTCAGCTGAAGCCGTTCTACCAAGATATGACTGATGAGAAACCAGGACCCGTGGACGCCCACGAGTAGGCGAAGAATGAGAGCGACACCCCTCGCCTATCGTAACACCCGTAATAAATGTAGATTAGACTAACACTTGTAGAAGTTATTTCAATCTCCTAGGACGAAGACGCCGGCAGCGAAGAAACCGATCCTTTCCCCGGCCCTGGGGCCGGAGACCACTAGCGTGACACCAGCCAAGTTCGCAAATTTTATAGAAGAAGACAGCAGAAAATGCCGTCTCAAAAGTTCCGCTACACCTTGTACACCCGGCGGTCCATAACCCTGGAGAGCTTGAATGGTGTGGTGACAAGGTGACTAATGGCCGTCAAGGTGACGACCATGTGCGTCGAGCCCCATACTCCCGGAATTCGCCGCCGTACGCGGAAGAGCCTCCGTCACCCCCGCTGGCATCGGCCTCGCGAATGTCGCCTGGAACGACCACCCTGGCGGCAACCGGCGAAGTGGGCGATCCGATGGGTGAGGAGGAACTTCCCCCCATCGAGACGCGCGAGTACACCACATCGATGCAGGAGTCCGGAGAGGTGGTGTCGGGCGGAACAGGAATTCCCTGTCGGCCCCGGAAACAGAGTCATCACCGCGACGGAGGTAGCGCGCAACGCCCCAATACCCAATACACGGAAGCCGGTAAGCTCCGCCGAACCTCTGACCCCGTAGAGAAAAGGGACCGGTCGGTGGACCTTTCGGTCCCTGAAAGGGAGCCGGTGACGGAAGACCAAGAAGAAGTGCCGTTGTTTCGCCCCCGGTTCGCCACCCACAATCTGGAAGTCGACACGGCCAGCGTTCGCTGTCATAGGGCGTAGTCTCATAGAGGGTGAGGCGAGGATCCGGCGAGGCCGATGTCGACGAACCCTTGGATCTACAGCAAGGAGCCGGTCAGTTTATAGTTTAAGCGAGCTAAAGTCACTGCATGGAGCCGTTAGCCGTATAGTTTTATTAGTTTGTCAGTTTATTTTTATTTATTTATTTACTTATTAATGGTCGACAAAACGAGAGTCTTCCCAATTATTCAATGCATTATATACACAATTATGAAAACTAAATGCTGAACGCCTTAGAGAACACAATTTTATAATAGCATCACCGACCGATAGAGGTGTTTTATTTGCCAGTCCGGCCAGCTGTGCCCCTTTTCACAGCTAATTTGTCAGTGACGCTATTAGAGCCTACATCTAAGAAAAAAGGTGTAAGTAGCAAAAAAATGTTTCTTAAGTAAAATTAAAAATAATCTTAATTTGCTATATTATTTAATAAAATACCATAAATAGGGGAAAAGAAAGTAAGAAGATTGTTAACAAAGTAAAGAACTGTATGCTAGATATATAGAGTGTTAACTAGATAGGATAAAGAGATGGTATTGGGAAAGTAATGAGAAATCACCGACCCGGTGGGGAGAAATTTACAGCCTGTCCGGCAAGCTATGCCCCTGCTCATAGCTGGGAATGGTCAGTGACTTCCCGAAGGTATCCTGAAAGCAACGATTTTATTCGGGGTAGAGAAAGTTCGGTAGAGAAAACGTGATGCAAACAATTATTTAATTTCTACATAGCACGCGAAAAGGATTGTGCATAGCGTAGTCTGTTGTGCACGTCGATAGGAATAAGGGGCGATAATTTCTGGTTGGTCTAGCCGGAACAGAGAATTGCAGACGCCCAGAAAAGGGAATCTATGTCGCCAACAACCAACTTATGTAGAAAGACAAAACTGACGGAAGATTAAGAAGAAGCAGCCTGCTGGAATAGGATAGGACCGAAGATTAGGGTCCCAATTTAAACCTCGTAATGGCAAAAAGCAGAAATTCCTTCTTGTCAGATTCAATACGGTCCTGGCTATTGTTATACTGCGGAGACCAGATGCAAGAGCAATATTCAAGGATAGGACGAACAAGAGATATGTTCAGAAGTTTCGTTATAAAAGGATCTTTAAACTCTTTAGACCATCTTTTAATGAATCCAAGTACACCTTTTGCCTCATTAACGATGGTATCTATGTGAAGATTGGAGCAGAGTTTAGATTCAAAAAGAACGCCTAGATCCTTAACTGTTAGTATACGTTGCATTGGAGAATTGTCGATTGTATAACTGACAAGATAAGGTGTAGTACGACTAAATGTCATAAACATACACTTTGAACAATTCAGATGGAATTGATTGGACGAACACCAAAGTTGCATAGCGTTCAAATCGTCTTGAAGACAAGAATGATGTAGGGGATTAGTGTAAAGGTCCAAGATAACTACCTTGAGGAACACTAGAAGTAACGTGAACCTGTTTAGAGGTAGTCAGCCTCAGCATTACTCTTTGGATCCTACCTTTTAAATAAGAACTAATCCAAAGCAAAAGAGACGAAAGGAAAACTATTCGGCCAAGTTTAAAAAGTAAAATGTCATTGTGCACAGAGTCAAATGTCTTACTGAAGTCGGAGTAAATGACATCAGTTTGCATTTTCGAAAGGAAAGCATCATTTACCAAGGAAGTAAACTCAAGCAGATTGGTCGTAGTTGACCGATTCTTTCCGAATCCATGTTGAACAGGGAATACAACTGGTTTTTAGAAATGCTGCAAATTCCAAGTGATTATTTTTTTTCAAATAATTTAGGAATATCAGACAGTTTCGCAATGCCCCTGTAATTTTGTATATCAGACTTTCCAGCTTTCTTGTGGAGAGGAATGATATAAGATTCTTTCCAAAGAGATGGGAATACAGAAGATTCGAAGGATAGATTAAAAAGCTTTAGCAATGGATAAACAAGGGAAGAACAACACTCCTTGAGTAGACAACTAGAAATATTGTCAGGCCCAGGAGAGAAAGAAGATTTAAAAGAATTTATAGCTAAAAGGAGAGAGGAATGGGGAATGGCAAATTGCCTTGTGCAAAATATTTAGATTTTATATTATTTAGATTTGATAATCTGGGAGTAAACCAAGGTGGCTTTGAAGAAGTAGTCGAAGGAATTGATTAATACACATATCTAAGAGGGAGTTTAGGGTGTTCTATAAAAAGTTAATATCAGTATTCATATCAACCGAGTCATATAAGAAAGACCAATCGGTAGCTTAAATATGTTGGCTCAGCAACGAATAATTTCCTATGCGAAAGCAACGGCGGGGCTTATTGGCTGATGAGCACGAAATGAGAGGATTTCAATTGAACATTGCAACCTCTAAAGTAGGATGATATACATCCTCAGTCTCTCCCTGAGGAGGGGACCTAGACACATTAGAATTAAGGTAGTCGTTAACAAATACAAGGTTAAGTGTTCTAAGCAAATGATTAGAAATTGAATTGATTTGAAACAACGAAAGATCAAGCATGGAATATATAAAGTCATGCTGTGCTGAGGGCATTAGATAATTTTCGGCAGTGAAAAGTGAAAGAGAGATGTTCGGCAAATTAAATCACTCAACACAATAAATAGGTTATTTTGACGCACGTGTGAAGAAAGTTCATTAATACAATAAATATGTTTCATATAAACTTAAATATCAGAAGAAGGAGGAACATAAGAGCATGTAATATAAATATTACGTGTAAGAATAGACACCTTGACTGAGACAACCTCAGCGTCACTAGGCGTACTAAAACAGTTCTGACTGGAGAGTGGCTTTAACGGCAATTAATACCCCACCACCACGAGTCGGCCGATCATTTCTATGCAAAATAAAATTATTCGAAAAAACCTCAAAATCAGATATGGTTGAATTTAACCATGTTTCTGAAAATGCGATTATATCCGAGTCGAAGGAACGTGCTGGCCATGTAAAGATTTTTAAGTTGAAGTGGAAATGAGACCTCTGACATTCTGATAATGAATTAAGACGTGGTCAGAAGAAGAAGTTCGTTTTTTGGGGCAGAAATGGTACCCTGTATTGAAGGGACTGGAAGGGTGACAGTCTGGTTACGCTTTTTATACCCTTGCAGAGGGTATTATAATTTTGTCGTGAAATGTAACGCATAGAAGGAGACATCTCCGACCCCATAAAGTATAAATATTCTTCATCAGTATCAACAGCCGAGTTGATATAGCCATGTCCTTCTGTCCGTCTGTCCGTCTGTCTGTTTCTATGCGAACTAGTCTCTCAGTTTTAAAGCTATCTTTATGAAACTTTGCAGAATTCCCTCTTTTTGTAGCACGCAGTTCATATGTCAAAACCAGCTGGATCGGACCACTATATCATATAGCTGCCATAGGAACGATAGGTCGAAAAGTAGATTCTTGTATGAAAAAAATTTTTGTTTATAAAGTTAACTTGGTATTTATTAGTTTTACTACGCTCCCCAGATATATGCAAAATCCTATTAAGATCGGACAACTATATCATATAGCTGCCATAGGAACGATCGGTCAAAAATTAAGTTTTTGTATGGAAAATTTTTATGTTTTTCAAGATATCTTGACCAAACTCGGTATTTATTAGTTTTACTAAGCTCGCCATATATATGCAGAATTCTATTAAGATCGGGCAACTATATCATATAGCTGCCATAGGAACGATCGGTCGAAAATTAAGTTTTTGTATGGAAAATTTTTTTGTTTTTCAAGATATCTTGACCAAACTCGATATTTATTAGTTTTACTAAGCTCCCCATATATATGCAAAATCCTATTAAGATCGGACAACTATATCATATAGCTGCCATAGGAACGATCGGTAGAAAACTAAGTTTATGTATGGAAAATGTTTATGTGTTTCAAGATATCTTGACCAAACTCGGTATTTATTAGTTTTACTACGCTCCCCCTATATATGCAAAATCCTATTAAGATCGGACAACTATATCATATAGCTGCCATAGGAACGATCGGTCGAAAATTATGCTGTTGTATGGAATTTTTTTTTGTTTTTCAAGATATCTTGACCAAACTCGGTATTTATTAGTTTTACTATGCTCCCTCCACTTATGCAAAATCTTATTCACATCGGGCTACTATATTATATAGCTGCCATAGGAACGATCGGTCGAAAATTAAGTTGTTGTATGGAAACCTGTTTTGTTTTTCAAGATAT